CCGGGTCTGGCCGCTAGATGGAGACACGCGTTCATGAAGAAGCGTTATATAGGTGGGTAGTTGACATAACAAATAAGCATTTTGCAAACAAATGTTGAGTTTAGGTAAATGCTTTTTTTCATGCATTGATGATATTTTGAGTTATTAGTTATTTGTTTCAGATTAGTGGAAAGAAAACATCCAAAATACACTTTATCTATTTGTGTCTGTAGACTTCAGTTACAAAACAATTACAATTAAAGGCTGTTTTCTCAATTTATTTTTTAGCTCTATTCACCTGGGGTGTCTTGCCTTAAAGTGTTTTTAATCCGTTTAGCAGTCTTGCATTATGACAATTTAAGTACCATGCATTCTCTCATTTAAAAATGCATGCATAGCATTCATACAACAATTAGAAATAGATGTTTTAAAAACCATTTTAGATGCAGTATATCATGTCATGTCAACTACCCATATTTCACCTCTCTGATTCCTCCGATATGTTGTGTTTTTACACAAATATTTGAATATTGGGATTTTAATTTGTAATTTCTAGACACACATTTAAAGCTTTGTTTTTTAAATCAATGTGCACTCTAAAAAAACAACTGGACTAACCCAACTTTTGGGTTAAAATTTTTATTTGAAAAATGTAACCCAACAGTTGAGTTAGTCCACATTTGATCCAAAGTTGGATTGAAACAACCCAGCATTTCTTCGAGAGTAGATAACAAGCTTTCGCTGCTGGACTTTGTGTGACAACTAGCCCCGGTCTTTCCAACGCGTTCTCCTCTGCTAGCTAACAGACTCTGGGGATGGTTGCGGGTTTGCATAGTTTTTCCACAGCAATCAGAGCCGTTTCCATCTGAATAGCAGAGAATCGCTGATCTCAAGTGCGCTGTGAAAGGACAGAGCAGTAAAATATATTGTTGTGGAAAGTCTCTATTGATGGGCCTGCGGGCTGCTGCATGGCCAGTCGGACACAAAGAGGGTGAAACGCTCCAGAAAACACTTTTGTGGCCCTTTTCTTTTCCATCAGCCCGCGATTAAAACACCCCAAAGGAGGCCGAGAGCGACGGGGGGTCGAAACCCACCGGTTTCTACAGGGGCTTGTTCTTGGGTCCGCGCTAAAGAGAAACAGATTTGTTTTTCTGCGCTTTAAATTGAAGGAGCTCCCAGCAGAGGAATGCGTCTCGCGCGCGCTGAGGGGCTTTTGTAATCTAACGCAGAGACCACACAGCTCGCCGGCTTCATGAAATATATAAACATTTTATTTATCCTGTACACGAGGTGAGGTTTGCCAAAAACCACGTTACTATGCAATCCCCCGTTCGCAAACAATAGAACAACAGAATGCGTAATGAAGAGAGGAGGGGTCTCCGCGCGTAAATGCGCAGCCGAGCGTGAAAGCGCAGCATGCAACAGGACTCCGAGAGCAGAAAACACACTCCAAATAACATGCAAACGCAGGAGGATTCTTTCACACTTTCGGTGAACGGATAAACACTTGAAATGCGTAACCGGATAGCAGCAGATTGAACTGATCACATGGATAACCGCTGAACTTTCCCTCTGAAAAGCCTCATGTTATGCGTTCACCTCGCATTTCAATCGAAGTGCACCAGATCGATGCAAGCATGCACCTAATCTGAGTTTGCAGCAGAAATGGAGAGCCGCATCGTTCCCGTGGCATTTCTCTCGTTTGTGATGATGCTGGAGGCGCAGATGGTTTGCTGGCAGGCGCTGATGCGATGTCACGAAGAACGCGACTGCGAGCTCGCCTACAGCCAGTACCTGAGCGCGTGCGACGGCAACATCCACCTGTGTCCGAGCCACTGCATCAGCGCGCTCATCCGCCTCAACCAGACCGCAAACGGCCCGTTTCTAGAGACCTGCGACTGCGGCAGCGACCCGGAGTGCCTGCGGGCCAAACGAGCCGTCGAGCCCTGCGTGCCGCGGACGCATCCGGGTGATGCCGATGGGATCGGTTGCACCGAAGCGCGCCAGCGATGTGAAGACGAGCCCAGCTGTCAGTCATCCCTCACCGCATATCTATCCCACTGCGGACAGCTGTTCAACGGGAGGAAGTGTTCGTCTCGGTGCAGAGCCACCATCGAGGAGCTGCTGTTCATGCCGAACGGCGAGCTGCTGAACCAATGCGTGTGTGACGGGCTGGAGAGGCCGTTTTGTGAGGCGGTCAAACAGAATATGGTCAGACTGTGTTCGATAGGAGACAACAGCGTCTCCATTGACCACGACGGGACGGACGATGCATACGAGGACGAGGATTACGAGGTCAAACCGGAGAGCGAGGGGACCGATGCTGATGCAGTGCTGTCGGTGACTCGTTCTCAACAGACAGTCCTGCTGTGCGTTGCATTCGCGCTGGCGTTCACACTTTAAAGTGCCACACACAAGTGCTCAGTGCCACTTGTTGAAGTGTCTCGAGACAAACAGTAGGCACATAAAGGAGCCGGTTTTGGGATCAAGTGCTTCATTAATGTGAAGACGCCCTCAGAAGCTGTTAAACACTCTCTTTGTCTCTCACGCTTGAGTTTCATTGGTTTGTCCTCTTCCTCTGAACGATCAGGTGACAGCATGCACGCATCACCATCATCTCTATTGTTCATGTATGCTGGAAATCAACACCAAGTGCCTGACGACTGTCTGTATTTTAGTGGAGCTTGAAACTGTTTTCTTCATACAAGTTTCTTCATAACAACCTGTCGTTATCACTTTAAAACCTTTATATCTAATGCATTATTAATGTACTTTTAACATTCTTGTAATGCACTCTTGAATAATTGTAACCACAGTTACAATGCATTAGAATACATTGTTACACCATTAAAAAATATAATGCATTAAAACACATGACAGACTTTCAAATATCGTAATGCATTTTAACTTTGGCTACAATTAATTATGAAAAGATATAATGCATTACAACGTAGGCTATGGATACCTTTATAATGCATTATACCTAAAGGCTTTAAGTAAAGTGTTTCCAACTTTTCTTTTTTGCATACGAGGAGGTATTAGTAATGTTAAAGTTTAGAGTTTATTTAAACTCTAAGATCAGAAGCACACTCTATGCAAGTATGCAAACACCGATTGAAACGTAAACCAATGCATTCTCGATGTTGCCGCACGAGACGCACATTATAGCAGACATTAATGTGCACTTCTATGGTCAGGTCAGTTACTGTCTTTGCATTTGAGGAGAATCTTGCAGAGCATGTTAGTTAAAGGTAATCGAACTGTTAACGTTTATAGTGTACTTGAGTATGTTTCTGGTTTAATATTCCTTTAACTTCTCAAAGTGTCTCGAAGCTTCATAAATTTTGTACAGAAAATAATTTATTTATACATTTTGGAATAATTAAGAAAATAAAAGTCATGCTGAAATGTAAGATGAACACTTGTCTTAAGTTCATTTATAAACTGAAAAGCATGGAATATTGATTTCCAAATCCAATGAACAGTTTTCAAACCGGGTTTGACTAAATAAATTAACAATCAATAAAGCTACAGAAATGACCAGCAGCACATTTTATTGGTTAATAAGATCATCGGTGCAAAATCCTCTTCCATATAGATATATATATAGTACAAATTAATCCAAAACATGTAGGTATTAAGTAAGTAAGGGGGGGGAGGTGTATATATATACACTTGTCTTAAGTTCATTTATAAACTGAAAAGCATGGAATATTGATTTCCAAATCCAATGAACACAGTTTTCAAACCGGGTTTGACTAAATAAATTAACAATCAATAAAGCTACAGAAATGACCAGCAGCACATTTTATTGGTTAATAAGATCATCGGTGCAAAATCCTCTTCCATATAGATATATATATAGTACAAGTTAATCCAAAACATGTAGGTATTAAGTAAGTAAGGGGGGGGGAGGTGTGTATATATATATATTATTTTCTTTCTTAGTATTTTTGTCTTGTTTTCCAGTACAAATATATAAACATTCTTAAATCAAGATGCATTTACTGTAGAAAAAAAGTGAAAAATTTATCAAAATTAAGTGTTTTTGCTTAAAACAAGAAACATATCTGCCAACGAGCAGCCTTGTTTTCCCTTTGAATTAAGCTTATTTTTCTTACTCCATTGGCAGATCTTTTTCAGACTTAATATCTTAAGTCATTCTGCTTCCCAAGAAAAAAATTATCTAGATTTAAAGGTGGGGTAAGTGATTTCTGGTAACCAATGTTGACATTTGAAATCACCAAAACAAACACGCCCCTACCCCAAAAGGGTCCCGCCCCTATTTTGATAGCTCCGCCCCGCACATACATACACAACTCAGGCAGCGATTAGTTCTGTGAAACAAAGCTAAATCAATGTTACACCGTGTCTACACCGGACGTGAGCGGCGCGGCTCGACAGAATACTATAGAACTCATTATAATCAGTGATGCTGTCTACACCAGATATATATATATATATATATATACACATATCTATGGTCTACACTGGATGCGGCGCGGCACGACACGACAAATCCCCGACAGAAAACTGCTGCTGCGTTCTATTCATGACGTATTTACACAAATTTCAAATGCTTTTCAACGCTCGCTTTGTCGCGTCCAGTGTACTAGACAGACTTTAGCTGTTGCGGCGCAGACACGGTGTTACTCACCGATCGAGAAGAAACAAAGCAGCCTCGGCGTCCGCTCCTTGAGTTCTCTCCAGCGCTGGAAAGCTGATCCGATGTTTACACGGGTCCTACTTCTTGCCTTAAGCTTTCGTTTGTTCCGCAGACGTTTTCCTCTTTTGTTTTTTATCCACCATCTCTATCTTTCTGTCGCTAGTCTCGGCTAATGTCCGTCCTGTGCACTGAACGCTCTCGCCGCCACATCATGAGTCGACACGCCCCTTACTGCTGATTGGCTACAAGTTTGTTTTGCTAGTCGGCCCGAATACGTTTTCTAAAGCGTTTTTAAAAAATCGCTTACCCCATCTTTAAGAATGTTCAGATATTTGTAGAGGAAAACGACAAAAAAATGTGCACTGCGTTCTGTTGCTTCAGATTCATTGCAGTGTCTAACTTGCTCACTGGTAAATGTTTAAATGCTGCATGTTTGATCCCGTGTGCAATGAGAACTTAGTTTAGTGCTCGCATGCTGTGACAGCCGCTTTCTGTGCGTGTGCTTCAGATGTGTGCACTCAGAAAACCTTATATCAGAAGCTTAAACTCATATGGTTTAAAACGCATGATTTCAGCGCGATAAACATGATAATCAGAAGCAAACCAGATGATTTTAGCAGGTCCGAGCTGTAATGGCGCAACTCTATTCTAGAAAAGGGGGCAGGGAGCAGCAGCTCATTTGCATTTAAAGAGACAGGCACGAAAAACAGCGTGTTTCTGCTTCCACTCAAAATAGGCATTTTCAGAATGATATAATAAATGATCTGTGGGGTATTTTGAGCTGAAACTTCAGACACATTCTGGGGACACCTGAGACTTATATTACATATTGTAAAAAGGGGCATAATATGTCTCCTTTCATTCGAAGCGTCTGCGTGCTGTAAAGTCTGTGGAAAGCTGTACTGCAGATGCCGGAGGCTCTCTGGATTTTTATGCGAAAACAACGAGCAGGAACCCGACACTAAAGCCCCTCTTTCCTCCTGCTGAAACCCCACCGAACGGCCGGGAATAAAATCAAAATAAACAAAAGCAGGGGAGACGGGGCCCGTTTTCTCATTTATCTGTGACCCAGATTTCAACCCCCACACGGCTGCGCTTCGATTGTAGAGCCGGCATTGTGTCCAGTGGGACTTATTCACGACATGCACGTATATGTGAGGAGACCTTGTGTGTGTGTGTGTGTGTGTGTGTGTGTGTCTGAAGGATTACCGTCCCTCCTTACACTCACAATCCTTCCTCGGTTCATCTGATGTTGAGCTGGCATGATTCTCTGAGCTCGAATCGCAGAGAGATCCAGGACTGAGCTGGCAGAACACACAGGTCTGTAACAACAGGGCCGTTGTGTGTGTGTGTGTGTGTGTGAGAGCTGCGATCCGTACCTGTCCTCTCTGATGAAACTCCAGAGCTTGTGAGATCTGATTAAACTACAGGTTAAGAAGCCTTTAATTCGTGCTATTTGTTACATCAATCGTCGCTATGCTGCAAGAAAAAAGTGACGTTCTTCCTCCTCAGTATTTTTGTGTTTTGCATGACAAATATCTAAATATTTTTAAATCAAGATGCATTTACTTGAGAACCAAAATTACTTATTAAATCTTGTAGTGAAAATATCTGAAAATAGGGTCAGAAAAATACATTCAAAGGGAAGATGCTTTACTTTAAGGTCCAATTCTCACTATTAACTAGTTGCGTATTAGCATGCATATTACTAGCACATCGGCTGTTTATTAGTACTTATAAAGCACATATTAATGCCTTATTCTGCATGAGCATATTTTAGATCCCTTAATCCTTAAATACCAATACCTAAACTTAACAACTACCTTACTATTACTAAACAGCAAAAAAAAGTAAATGTTCTGGTATAAAATGAATTAAAAAGTAATGGCACTGACCCAGATTTAGTTAACATTAGTGAACAGTTAATGCATTTGTTTCAGTATTAATGTTAGGTAATAAAAATACCACTGTCAGCTCAGGTCTGTTAAATAATATTAACAGATACAACTTTTGATTTTAATAATGCATTAGTAAATGCTTCTCATTGTTGACTACAGTAAAGTGTTACGGTTGTGTTTTGTTGTGCTGCGAGTGAATATGACGCTGGTTTCTGCAGGCTGATTTATTCCAGAGAGGAAAGAGGAATGCAGGGGAGAATTATATTACTGGAGGAATGCGGAGAGGAAATGACAATTTATGGCCAACTGAAATTTATAATGCAAGAACATATTCACTCAGAGAGAGAGAAATACAGATGATGCTTTCATTCAAATCAGAGCTTGTTTAACACATGCACACAGTATTCTGACGCTAAACTCTCCCTTTGTAAGTGTGTGTGTGTGAGAGTGTGTGTGTGTGAGAGTGTGTGAGTGAGTGAGTGAGTGTGTGTGTGTGTGTGTGTGAGAGAGTGTCTGTCTGTCTGTGTGAGTGAGTCTGAGAGTCTTGAGTGTGTGTGAGAGTGTGTGAGTGAGTGAGTGTGTGTGTGTGTGTGTGAGCCCAGAGTAAACACACAGAAAGTCATACCTCTCTCATGCTGCTGAATCTGCGGTAGAGCTACGGTCGGCCTTTTACAGTCCGGACTCTTTGCCTTCAGGTGTGAAAGTCTTTTTCTCAGATGAAAACCGTCTGCCAGGAGCCAATCAGATGCTGTGCATTCTCCGGCCGTCTGACACGCGGCATCCGTTGCCATGGCGAGAACCCGCAGCTCACTGTAAACAACAAGCTGAGAGAGAGAGAGAGAGATACACAGAGAGAGAGAGAGAGGGAGAGAGAGATACACAGAGAGAGAGAGAGAGAGATACAGAGAGAGAGAGAGAGAGTGTGTGTGTGTGAGAGAGAGAGAGAGAGAGAGAGAG